AAAGTGCCACATAGACCTCATAGTATAGCACCAGTGATGGCGGCGCAACGGCAGCAACGACGACGCCGACGCCGACGGTAGCAGGCAGCCCTCGTTAAAGCAAAAACGCGAGAGATGATGGATGGATGCTAAATTGCATTAATTAAATCCACCGTGACACCCTCGGCCGACGCAGCCCTTGGTATCACTCGGCGGCATTGCTCGGGCTTGTCTGTGATCGAGACGTGAGCCGTTTAACGGGGGTATGGGTCACTTTGATGATCACACCCTATGTAGATCCCCCCATCTCCTCTGTCTCCTCTCCCCTTCGTCTTCTCTTCTTCCGTATTCACCTTCCCATGCAACACCCGTCATACTAGAGAGGTATTTTGTCAAAGACGATTTACCTGACGAGAGTATTCTGCGAATCAGAACGGAATGCGGACTGTGCGAGACGCGTTTCACTCGGGCTGGCCGCGACGCAACAGTGCGTTTTAATCGACCGCAGACGCACATTAGTTTCGTACTAAAATTAGCAGGCATGAACGAGGCCTTGTTTCCTGCAGCGCCGCTTGCGAAGAATCTCTCCTGAAAGAACAGTGGATCTGCTATTGACAAGTCGCGCATATATCGGTTGATTGGAGCAAAAATAAATTGTGTAATATTTTTGATTCCTCTTGATTAATTTTGATTATTTCCTTGAACATTAACTATAATTGTTTAAAACATTTGTTTAAAGCGATATAATATTTTGTCCATAATATTATTATGTCCATTTCGAAATTACGAGTTTTTAGAGTACAATAATATTTCACTGGAAAGAATAAAACTTTTTACACGATGACGAGACATATCATATTTCTCTGTTATATATATTTTTCTGAGTTTCATTTCTTAGCAATATGGATGCTTCCGCATCGCAGCCATTTATCTAAAACGCTTTAAATATGGATTAGAACAAAGTGCGACGATCTAAATTGCGAGAATAATTGGACGAGAATGCGAGAGTTATTCCGGGCTTCATAATCGAATTGGTTAAAGTTGAATATATAATAAGATTTAATGTCAAATTTGGTAATCATGGATAAGAAATCCATTAAAGATATTATTAATTACAGTTGTATTTTGCAGCGTGTAAATAATTTAGAAATGATTATTAAATTCTATTTCTATCGTAGGAGACTGTTTTTTGCATTTCTATGCGAAATCCAAGTGTTTTTTTAATCAGCTGCTTTGAAACTTATATGATATATATATATATTACCCATCATTCAATACCCGTAAATCATATATTATATATAACTTGAAAACCCATTTACGTTACATCGAAGTTTAATGCCTCCTTTCGGATAGGAATCAGCGGAACCGTGCACGCGCAGTCTTTGTAAATTCAACATTTTTCTTTGACGTCTTCCCTCGCTGTTTTGTAGCAGAATATAAAGCTACAGTTAAGCGGATTTAGCGGAACAAAAGAATATACCCGCGCCCGCGCAAATTCTTACAGCTAAGTGAGATGTTGCCCGGATCCCATATGGAGAAGGCAACGGACTACAAGTTTCGCTTTCCCCTTAAATGAGATGATGAGATCTCGATGCCTACCATGTGTTTCAGATGAGAGATAAGTGAAAGCCGTATCGCATAGATATTAAGTATAATTTAGTGGATTGCCCGCGCGCGGATGAATCTTTCGAAAAGGAAGAGGAAGATACCGAAGAAAAAAAAACCTGATATTTCACGTTATAAGAAATATGCAGGTGTGTATGTGTATGTGTTTGTGAGTCTCGATTATACCAGGCTACAGTCGTTCTTGTCGTGTCTCTCAGCGGAAGGAAATACTGAATAATAATAACGAGACAGCTAGGCAATTATAACGCTGTTTAGGGCTTTGCGTGCAATATGGATGAACGCGATGGATGGACCCTCGCCAACGCATATTTGACGGTAATTATGGCGATTATTCCGTAAGCGTGAAAGTTTATAACTATAATATATCGTTATCACTCTCCGGCACGCGAATATTTTTGGCATAAAATTTGCGTACATTAGATTGGAGCTTTTTCAGAGAGTTTAACGTAATTTATTAATTTCCCATATATTTTATATATCGCGACAATATTTTCGGTTTTGCCATATTTTCGTACACGAGTGAGGTCAAAAGGATGACTGAATAAAGGGGCAAAAATCTGTAGAAAATTGCGAAATACGCGAGATAACGCTGTGCGAGGACACGAGTTTTGTTGATCCGCGTGTCAACAAATATTTTCGATTCGTTCGTACGAAAAAAGGGATCCGTCGATTCGCGAACTCAGATGCAACGAAGCGTGGAAGCTTCAAAGGCGCGCAAAGCACCTCCGCGGAATAAGAGGATAATGTGGACTCGATTTGACGTCTTTGAATATTTAATATCGCACGAAGCCGTCTCATCACTCGCGTCTTACGACGGTTCAGACGCTTGCTACTATTGAAGTGGAACTAACGAAGGATCATGCTGTTCGCGATGTAACATCGTGTCGCACATAACTGATCGCTTTCCGATATAGAAACATCATTTTCTGTGAGATGTCCTCTTGGCTGTGTATTCTTACTGCTCTTCTTCTTTCTATATTAGACATATGACAAAAATGAGCAAAATATGCAATCCCGATATCGTAAGCGAATAGACATAGGATTCGCCCGAGACTTTATAGAATTTTCCGTGGAACGCATCAGACATTTCGCAATTTCTTCAGCGCATTTATTGCGGAGAGGAGTTCTTACCTTGGAGTGTTCCACATCGCAGGCACGATTTTTGCAGACACATCCCGCTCGTGTCGCGCACACCGACGCTTTATATTTCAAACGTTGAACGCGACGATACCGCCGGGATGCAGTTTACGGTTTTTCCGGTGATTTGCCCCGCTCTTGCTGTACGCGTTCTCCCAAAAAGACGGCACCTCGGACCGCGCCGAACTGTAAGGACAGTCGTAAGAAGTGGCGCGACGACGGGAGAGGGCCAGACCGAATGGCCTCATGCAATTCTAAACTATTTCAATGAAATGGGATAGAGCGACTGGTGGATTTGTTGGTCGCGGCACTCGACCCATCGTCTTTCCGTAGCTCGAGCAGAACGAAAGAGAAAGAGAGTCCGCGCGAAAGAGAGAGGGAATTAAGAAAAGCCACGCTTTTACGCCGCTCCTCGACTGGTTTTCCCTTTGTTCTAAAATTCTTACGACTTCCCTTACCTCCGTCGACTGCACCTTCACCACGAGCAACAAAGGAAGTGGTCTGTAGCCCCCGCTATGCTCGTAATACCCGGTATGTACCACTGCGCTACACTCTACTCTGGGATACACAGAATTGTCTCCCCTTCCGCGTTACCGAGAGAGAGAGACACTTTGTAGCGTGGCTTGGATGCTGCGCAACTTTCTCAACCAGCCCCTGGGCTCAGCTAACTTGGAGGATTTTCGTATTAGCATATCGACTTATTCATACACCTCGCTTGACTTCGTTCTCGCGGCATCCTTCGGGATGTATCGGCGCGCAAGATGTAGTGGATGTCTGCAAGATCGAACGTGTATCTCAGTCAATGAATTTTTACTTTGTGAAATGAGCGGCAAAGTGATACAGTTGCACAGATGATTTTCAAATTTACGGTCCCATTATTAATTTTGCTACATTTGTGCTAAGACATTGACACAGAACAATTATATAATTACTCATTGTTTATCGTTTCATGTTCACTCTACGAGAAAAAGCTGATATTGAACATGAATATGGTATACGCGATAAAAGAAAATATTAACGTCTTGCATAATCGTGTCTGTTAAGTCTTTTGCCCTAATCAATTCATAAATACACAAATAATATGAATAGTCACCTAGAATAACAAGATTTCGCTCGTGTATTGTAATTACATTTACATGCACTCAGTAGACCGCTAACTGAATTTTCGCTAACTGAATGATTTAGTCGGAATAATTGTGTTAACCGCTTTACTTCAATTAGCGTTCGTTTGCGTCAACTATCAATTTAAAATGTTATATTATGCTTATAAGGTTCAATTATTAGGTTCCTTTTTCCAATTTAAATCATTTAGCTCTCTATATCTATATGATTTCTTCTCGTTATATAAATTGATCTCATATTTTAATTCTTTTGTAATTTCTTCGGAATTCTATAATTTCATAGCAAATTGGATTTAATCTGATTTATACAAGCCTTAGAAAAGTTAAAATGTATGTAAGCGGAAATATTTAAATAAGTAGAAAATATCGACATTAAGTTGTCAAAAGCGAATTTCTTTTTATTAAGTACTCTTCTTTAATATTTTATAACGTTTCTAGTCATATCCTTTTTAAAATATAGCATAGATAAGTAATTAATATATAAGTTTTAGTGTATATATAATATTTATATAGAGAGCGTTTCAATATATGTATATCAATTTCAATTTCTTCATCTCTTTGTATATTCGAATGTTGCAAATCTGACATATTTTTCATCAGCATTTCGCTTACGTCCATCGATAAGAATCGATATAGAACGAGGATCTCGATAATCGCATGAGAGAGATCTGTCGAAAGATTTACTACGAATAGAGGAAGCTTTATCGGCTTTGCCGGATGCAGCAAGTAAGATGCACAAGGGTGCGTTTCGTTTGACGTACTAAAAAAAGAAAAAAGCGCGAAAAACTTCTTCATAATTCAGGCTTTGAAAGTGCCATAAAGTTCGACTTGGAGTATCCATTCGACCTATCCTTCGCGGCCTAAAATTTTTCATAGTCACCATAAAAAAAATGCGTACACTAGGGTCGCGAGAAGGGGCTGCCGTTTACTCGCCTCTTCGCGGTGATCACGGCGAGTATCTCGGATTGCGACGAGGAACCGCCGCGCCGGTGAGACTGTGGACTGTTGTCAACTGTAGAGGTAGAGGTAGTCGTGCGCTATCCGTAGCGGTCGCGGCCGAGTAAAGCCGAGGACGGACGAGCGGCGCCGAGCGCGGCTAAACGCGGCAACGCGCGTCAGAGGGTAACAGTCGTGCCGCGGCCTCCGACGAGAGAGGTCTGTGCGAGCGTCGTTCGTCGTTAACAGTCGCGGCAACTTCGGTTCGGTTCGTAGCGTCGCGACTTCAACTCTTGTACGATACAACGATCATGTTATGACGGATGCCGTGTCGCCGATACGTCGCGTCTGCGATCACCCGGTTATGATGTACACGCGATAGGGAAACAAGTAGTATAGCTCGTCGTCTCCGAAGTCGCCCGTCTGCCTCGACTCGAGCAACAGATGTGACCATCGTGCGCGTCTCGTTCTTTATATTTAGTTGATCAAGATTTCCTCAGTTGCTGAAAATTCGCGACGCTTCGATCTCAATCTCTCTACGATTGTTTCGTTCCTCTTGTCGAGAAGGCGTCGTAACGAATAACCACGAGCACATTCCACTCGCGGAGATAAGAAACGTTTGAGTAATCCAACGATCAAGTGAAAGATAACATCGGGGAAATAAGAAGTTCTTGGAATCTGCGTCTGCGATCGACGTAAATTGCTGCTCGTCCGCGATCGACGTGAATTGCTGCTCGTCCGCCGTTCTAAGAACTTATCTACGGCTTAAGGGCACCCGGCCGTGTACGAGAAGTAAAAGGAAGAATTCCTTTGTCCTCCGAGACGGTACGGAAGAAGAGGTGGACGAACCGTGGAGAGGGCAAGAGAAAGACGCAGCCAAACGAAACAGCACGCGGTCTCGAGTTTCTCGGAGTATACCTGCCGTATATAGAAGTGCAACAAGGACGACGATTAAACGAGAAAGAGAGAGAGTGAGCGAGGGACGCTTTGTACGGTGAACGGCCGTCTCGTTGTCGGTGCCAGCAGCCATAGGGCAACAAACCACGCGCTGCACAGCCGGGAGAAACTCTCTTCCTGCTCAAGGTCAGAGCATCGAGGTCCACGCGATTCTTTTGCAATCGCGTCGCGTTGCGTTGCACTTCGCAGGCCGAATCCGGACGATCGCGAGTGAAGTAAAGCAAATCGTGCGCGTAATGTTCGGGCGGAAGTAGAATCGCGAAAATCGTTTCGTCAAAAATTCGAGAGCGTTTGAGAAGAAAAAGGTGAGATTGTGTTTGATTTCCTCGTGACCATGCTGAGGCAGAGGCTATTACCGGACGCCATGACGATAGTTAGAGCAGCTGTTCTCGCAGCTGTTCTGGGACAGCTCGTAGGCCCCAGCTCGGCCAGCAGACCCGCCGGTGCACACCCTGGACATGCTTATTTCGAACAACCTTGTTGCGGACGTTCCCATCTTAGGCATCACAAAGGTCAGTTCAGTTATTTTCAAGTGAGCTCGATTAGCAAAATATCGGAGCTTCTCGATGACTGCGGAATCGCTATTAGTGATGGTGAAGTATTTACGGTCGTAGGAATTATGAGCAATTCCATGGGAATATTTCCACCCAGCTGAGCTTATTTTGATTGTGGTAGGACAGGCTCGTGACGTGCGAGCGGAAGCGGAAACGGATGAGCGAGGCGATAGCGATGCCACGTGGTATCGTGATTTTTCGTTCTCATCGTCGAATGTGTCGTTGTTCGCGACGATGACAGAGAGACGCACGTTATACGTTTCGCATCGTATTTATGCTCGCATGTTCGTGGGATAATCGTATACAGGAAATTCCATACGACATGAAATTCGTACTAGGATAAATTACGCAATATTTGTTCGCCATATTATCGATATCCAGCTGAGAGAGATATATAGAGAGTTTTAGAATACAAATTTTACATGTTGGTACACTGACAACAAATTTTTTTAACTTGACAGAACCTTTCAATTACAATAAATTACTATTTTATTAATCGAACATATATATTGGTATTTAAATCAAATGTATAAATACATTTTGTTAAATTTAATGTTATATTTAATTTAAATATTTTATATGTTCAATTAACGAAATAATATTTAGTTAAAAATTTAGTCAAGTTAATAATTTCTTTTAGTGTACAGTATTTTAAATGTATATAAGAGAACAATAATAAATTGTCTCAACTATTATATTATAAAGATTATCTAATGACAAAACGTGCAACATTTTTCTAAGCTTCTTCTATCTGATTTTTTTCATAATAATGATATATTTCATTAATGTAGTTTGTACTGATCGATAAGCGATGGCGGTGCAATTTTTATATCAAAATATCAATCGCTATTAATTTGCAAATATATCGTTTACATTAAATACTGTGACTTCCGGGATTATTTCATTGATTGTGAGTTTCCCGATCAGCTATTTACAATACAAATTATATAATATGTAATATACAATTATACAAGCAAGTAAATTCAATTACTTTTTTTTATGTGAGAAAAATCTTGCACATGGTGATCTTTCTCATGCACTTTTGGCAGGGGTCATTTGCGCTTTATCTGGGGAGCCCCTACGTAATTACACCTTTGTTTGATGAAATGCAATTAACGTATTGAATGCTGGTACACGAACTTTATATCGAATTATACCTAATTATAGAAAACATATTTCTTTATTTTTATTTTTTTTGAGAGGAAGAAAATGGCAATTATCTCATAGTATTAATTTTTCCGAACAATTTGCTTAATTATTATAGTTTATGCTAACTAGTTTGTTAAGTAATATTATGCTTATTAGTTTGATAAGTAATATTATGGTTAGTTAACATCAAACAGCTATTATATATTAATTTCAACTGGTTAATTTATGACGTAATTCTAATAAGGAATTCTAATAAGGAAATCGAATAAGGATAAAACCGTCGATACTTTGTGGTTCGTCGCTTGTCGTACAAGGAAATATACTGTTATTCGTAACGATATATTACGCAAGGTGGATTTTTCAGGGAAACCTCGCGATATTTTTTCACGGGACGCTGACCTCCTTCTCCCTTTCCGGTAAATCGTTTAAAGAGAACGGACGAGTGCGGAATGTAAAAACGAATGTAATGCCCGGGCAACGAAATACCCGTTAGCATACATCACCAATATTATCTCGGGGAAGGCCCTGCCACGCGATATTACCGGGGCTTAGAACGCCGGGGCTGACTTCATTATGGTACCGGGGAGAGAGAGAGAGAGAACCGTCGAATGGAATGTGGAATGGTCGGTTAGCTGGCTGGTCTCGGGGTCCGTGTGTGGAAGTCGAGGTGGAGGAGAGAGAGCATCGCCGATGCGTGGCGGCTCTCTCGCGCGTGTATATAAAGCAAGCAAGAGACCGCATGCTGGGGAGAGACGCGTTGCTTGCAAAGCAACGCGCCGCACGCTCGCACACATATATATAAGCACACACGCACGCTTTCGAAGAACTTACGCGTTTCCCGAGCGTTTTCTACGAGCGTAGCATTTTCCGGAAGAGAAGGGGACGCGGACTTTTTGGGGAATTTGCGGCCGGTCTGTTTTCCTGTCGCGCCAATGGCGGAATTTTCATTACGACGAGACGTGGTTATTGTCCTTGTAATGCGCCGTACTTCCCACGGAATGCGCGTGCCCACGTGTGTCGGTTTCGCGGAATGTCGGTTTCGCGACCGCGCGAATATTTCGGCGCGAAGTTTTGGGAGCGTTTCGGTGTAGTAGCAACCGGTAGCGATTCTCTCTCTGTGCGCGACACTTGTTTCCGAAGTTATCACCGACTAATTTCGTTGCCGTGGTGTGTTGTCGCGTTCCCGCGAAACGCTGAAAACTATTGTTGCGAGAGCTCCTGGGCAAACGTCTAATCTTACTTTGTGCGACGATGTGTTTGGATGGCGGGTGACGTGATTCCGGCGCGAGGTATGCAAGTCGGAGCAAGGCATGCGGACATTGTGTAGATAACACGAACTTCTTGACGCGTAATCGTTACTTGAGACCTCGCGCGATAGATAACGATACTCGGATTTCTCAAACAGTCTTTGTTGAAGAAATATCGATGGCCGTTGCATGAGAGGCGAGCATTGAAACTTATTCGTAGAGTGCAGCAAGCGGCGTGTTGATTGATAGTGCAAATCCTGTATACTCTCCCCACATGCTAAGGATCTCTATATATATGTGTGTGTCTACTATACTATAGCACATCATACCGCATTGATCTAATCTGTACTTGCGGGCAGGTGTCTACGCCACCAAGCGATCATGAATTCTAAGCCCTTCGTATCGGATCTCTGTTAACTAACGGAACGGATATTAATTTCGACAGGCTTCTCAAACCGATCTGTTGATCCAATTTACACGCACATTTGACGTGTAATTCTCCATATAGTTTCGCATGTAATGAAGTTGTGCGAAATTATGTACGACTATGTCCTGTTGTATTAAACTATGCACCTCTCAAGATACCAGTAATCTTTGTCTAATAAGTTAAACGAGCGTTTTCAATTACGGTATCGCGACGATGACGACGACGAGGCGTTTAATCGCTATCAGTTAGCTATCGGTAATCGTAAACATGTGAAGAGAAGGCGATAATATTGTACAGAGTTTAGAAACGAAAAGAGGACGCGAAAGAAATCACATAACGTTCAACGATGTTGAGGAAGAGAAAAACGTCGCGACGGGCCGAGAACCAGCAATCTCTAAGATTGCTCTAGACAACATCGGAATAACGATTTATGACAAATTATATAAAAGTTATATAAAGAAAATTTTTCGTAAAAAATAAGTTAGATGTCACATTCGTGATCGAACGAGCTTGTTGGATTACGAATGAATTATTGTTAAATACACATATTTGCAATTAAGCTAGATAATCTTTTGTCTTCGAAAAAAATATATAGGTGCATTTATTTTATGGCTATTTTAATGTATGATTATTTTAATTGTCTACGCGTTTTTTTCGCAAAATTAAACAATAACATTTAAATATCATTTACTGAATATTGATATTGCGCGAGCTATTATTCGAATTATTTAATAACTTTTATATATTTTTTTATTTAAACTAAACTACTATCGCTATTTAAATTACTTCCTGAACTAATGCGAATCAAGTTAAATATTATTTTTTGACGCAATGGTACTTTATATACTCTCTTTTGGTTTGTTTTTCTTTCGTCATCCACGTACAACCGACTTTTTCTCGGCAGATTATCCCATACAGATGCCTAATTCGTCGGTAAATTCAAGGAGTTTGAGCGGCAATGCTCTCTTTGCACTACATAGAGATTTGTCAGTATGTATTTGTGCGTGTGCGTGTGTGTTTGCAGAAGTCGCTAGGCAAAGAGAAAAGGGAAAAGGTAGAACGAAGCGCGGTCGTTCGGTCAGTCATGAGCGCCGGACGGACCGCGAAAGTTTTCCTTTGGTCGCACGAAGGTCTCAAAGATTTTCGAGATTAAAAGCTCTACGAGAGAGTCAACTACATTCGCTACCAGTCGTCCGATTCCGCGTTACAGCCGCACTGTCTCTCTCTCTTTCTCTCTGACTTTGCCGTTCGCTATCGCTTCCGCTAAGGCTATGTAATGAGCGACCACAGCTAAGACTCATCCAGCGCATGGTATTCGAGGCCGCGCATTCCTGCGGTCCCGGGGGTCAGCATGAATGCCGAGACATTGCCTTTGGGGAGAGCCTTGCGAAGTTATACCATCGGAATCAGCGGGAGCTTTCGTACGCGCGGCGGTCGAATTATTTCCCTTTGAAAAGGCGCGTATCCCGCTCAAGCTACACCGAGCTGAAAGAGCCGGGGCGTATAACCCTTTTGCTAGACTCTTGGAAATTATTCCCCAAGTTTTCCTTCTGATTTCCGCCGGCGCGCAAATAGAAGGGGGCAACTTTTGACGAGTCTCGGTATTCGCGAACGCGACGCGACACCAGGCGACGCGACGTCGCGGCAAAAAAGCATCGGGAAAGGGGAGAAATCGATTAATTTCTACTCTCTGCATTAAGTTGCTCTAGCTCTTCCAGCGATCTTCCAATTACTTCTTTTTTTCCTTTCTTCCTTCTCGCGTCTGTCGATGCTCTGGAAGTTCTCTCGTCTCGAGGAGGGTAAAAAGCGCGCGCGAGACTGCAGCAACTCGTTCATGGACGTAGGGAAACGGATAAAGGGTTCGAGAAGACGCGTGGCGCGCCAAGTTTGCCTCGCAATCGTTGCGGGCGTGCGCACGCAAGTGCAATGGGAACTTTGTTGCGAAATCTCGAAGAAGCTCGAGTCTGAAGTGTTGGTGCAAATCGGTGGCTGGAAGAGAAAGACCAGCCGCCTACGATTCGCGATGGAATAGTTTTTGTAACTTTACGTTGTAATTGCGTAACGTCGAACGCATAGCGACTTAGCCAGGCATTAGACGAAGAGCGAATGAGTTTTTTCGGCCGTTTAACTTAAAC